GCCTCTCCGTGGCACGATCACTGCCTCGGGTGATATCGTCCCTTTGTCCTATATTGCTGGTTTGCTCACTGGCAGACCTAATTCCAAGGCTGTTAGACCCAATGGTGAGAAACTTAATGCTGAGGAAGCTTTCTGCGTGGCTGGTATTAGTAGTGGATTTTTCGAGTTGCAGCCTAAGGAAGGACTTGCACTTGTGAATGGCACAGCAGTTGGTTCTGCTATGGCATCAATAGTCCTGTTTGAGTCCAATATCCTTGCTGTTATGTCTGAAGTTTTATCAGCGATTTTTGCTGAAGTGATGAACGGAAAGCCCGAATTCACTGACTATTTGACACACAAGTTGAAGCATCACCCTGGTCAGATTGAGGCTGCTGCTATTATGGAACACATTTTGGATGGAAGCTCTTATGTGAAGGTAGCTCAGAAGCTCCATGAAATGGATCCTCTTAAAAAACCAAAGAAAGATCGTTATGCTCTCCGAACATCTCCACAATGGCTTGGACCTCAGATTGAAGTCATTCGTGCTGCAACTAAGATGATCGAGAGGGAGATTAACTCAGTGAACGACAATCCATTGATCGGTGTTTCAAGAAACAAGGCCTTACATGGTGGCAACTTCCAAGGAACCCCTATTGGTGTCTCCATGGATAATACAAGATTGGCCCTTGCATCAATTGGTAAATTGATGTTTGCCCAATTCTTAGAGCTTGTCAACGACTATTACAACAACGGGTTGCCATCTAATCTGACAGTAGGAAGTAATCCAAGCTTGGACTATGGTTTCAAGGGCGCTGAAATCGCGATGGCTTCTTACTGCTCGGAACTTCAATTCTTGGCAAATCCAGTGACTAACCATGTCCAAAGTGCTGAGCAACACAACCAAGATGTGAATTCCTTGGGCTTAATTTCAGCCAGGAAAACAGCTGAGGCTGTTGATATCTTGAAGATAATGTCATCAACCTATCTCGTGGCTCTTTGCCAAGCTATTGACTTACGACATTTGGAGGAAAACTTGAAGAGTGTTGTCAAGAACACAGTTAGCCAAGTAGCTAAGAGAACTTTGACAATGGGTGCTAATGGTGAACTTCATCCAGCAAGATTCAGCGAAAAAGAATTGCTTCGAGTCGTGGATAGAGAATACTTGTTTGCCTATGTTGATGATCCTTGCAGCTCCAACTACCCTTTGATGCAGAAGCTGAGACAAGTCCTTGTTGATCAAGCAATGAAGAATGGTGAAAGTGAGAAGAATGTCAACAGCTCAATCTTCCAAAAGATTGGAGCTTTCGAGGACGAATTAATCGCTGTGTTGCCTAAAGAAGTTGAGAGTGTAAGAGCTGTTGTTGAAAGTGGCAACCCTTTAATTCGTAACAGGATCACAGAATGCAGATCATATCCATTGTACAGGTTGGTGAGAGAAGAACTTGGAACAGAATTGTTGACGGGTGAAAAAGTTCGATCACCCGGTGAGGAGATTGATAAAGTGTTTACAGCAATGTGTAATGGACAGATTATTGATCCATTGTTGGAGTGTCTCAAGAGATGGAATGGTGCTCCTCTTCCAATCTGCTAAATATGTTATTCTTTCAAGTTCTTTTTTTGTACCTTTTAGTAAATTACTAGAATTATAATGATGTTATGAACTTATATTAAAAAAATTATTTTTGACTATAAAATTTAGTTTTGTTATTGAAATTAAAGCTCAATCCGTGTTCTTTCCTTCTCTTATCTGAATATTATAAGAATTCAAGTAATCTTTTAGCTTTGTGAACATGATGACATGCATTCTTCTTTACAAAATGCCTTAAATTTAACTGCATTTTAAGTATATCATCCATCTCATCATGAGCATGCTATCGCCTGCCCTCACTGTTCGCATCATAATGACTTCCTGCACTTTCATTTTGGGCATCTTTGCAGGCATATTATGCAGGAGGATAACCAATCAAAGACGTAAACTGTGCTTCTAATTTCTGCGGACAAATAATCTTTTTGCAAGTTGTTTTATCCTTTCTTTTCTTCTTAGGAACATTGTATTGCAAGGTTGAGGCTTCTTCACCTGATCTCAAC